GTTGCAACAAGCTGAGATCATGCCACTGTACTCCAGCCTGGGTGACAGAGCGAGACTCCATCTCAAAAGTCAATCAATCAATCAATGTTTATTCATTGGTTTCCCCAGTGGAGTTGGAAAAGGGGGTTAAGCATTATTCTGATCTTTGTCACTCCCACTAAACTGGGAACTCTTGAAGGGCCACATTGTGTCTTAATCATCTCAGTACTTCAGGGTCTCGCCTGGTGCCAGATACAGTAGTCCCTGCTCTCCCTTATCCAGGGTTTTGCTTTCCAAGGTTTTAGTTACCTGCAGCCTGGAACTATTATATACAATAAGATATTTTGAGAGAGAGAGAGAGCATAGCCGCAAACTTTTATTTCAGTACATTGTTAAAAGTGTTCTATTGTATTATTGTTATTCTTAATCTCTCTTTTTTTTTCTTTTTCTCTGAGGTGGAGTCCAGCTCTGTCGCCCAGGCTGACAGTGGCGCCATCTCGGCTCACTGCAAGCTCCGCCTCCCAGGTTCACGCCATTCTCCTGCCTCAGCCTCCCAAGTAGCTGGGACTACAGGCACCCACCACCACGCCTGGCTAATTTTTTGTATATTTTTTTTTTAGTAGAGATGGGGTTTCACCATGTTAGCCAGGATGGTCTCGATCTCATGACCCCATGATCCGCCCACCTCGGCCTCCCAAAGTGCTGGGATTACAGGTGTGAGCCACCGCGCCCAGCCACCTCTCTCTTTTTTTTTTTGAGACAGAATTTCACTCTTGTTGCCCAGGCTGGAGTGTAATGGCGCGATCTCAGCTCACTGCAACCTCTGCCTCCCAGGTTCAAGAAATTCTCCTGCCTCAGCCTCCCCAGTAGCTGAAATTATAGGTGCCCACCACCACACCTGGCTAATTTTTGTATTTTTAGTAGAGATGGGGTTTCACCATGTTGACTAGGCTGGTCTCGAACTCCTGACCTCAGATGATCCACTCGCCTTGGCCTCCCAAAGTGCTGGGGTATAGGCTTGAGCCACCGTGCCTGGCTTGTTATTCTTAATCTCTTACTGTGCCTAATTTATAAGTTAAACTTTATCATAGCCATGTATGTGTAGAAAAAGACATAGTATATATAAGGGTCAGTACTATCCACAATTTCAGGCATCCACTGAGAGCCTTGGAATGAACCCCCGTGGATAAGGGGGACTATTAGGTAGAATAAACATCAATAAATGCTTGATGAATAAACGCTAATCCTGCCTTCCCAGCCTGACACTTCCCAGGGGGCACCACACTTCACTTGAAGCCTTAGAAACCTTCCCCATCCATGCTTCCAGCCCCGGCTTCATGCTGCCATTTCTCACCCCCAGAACAGGCTGCCCGCCTGAAGAAACTACAAGAGCAAGAGAAACAACAGAAAGTGGAGTTTCGTAAAAGGGTGAGAACAACTGGAGTGATCAAAGGCAGACTCAGGAAGGACTTCCAATAAGTTAAAATTGGAAGGTTGAGGACTCAGTTTTGCTGAAAATGTCTTGAGAGAGGTGATGCCTGGAAGCCAGTGGCATGGAGGCTGGGGAGGGTGCTGGGGAGGCGTAGAAGGGCCGCCAACTCAGCTGGGGTGGGGGGTACTTGGGTGGAGCCATTGTTTCATATCTTCTTCCTTTCCCCTCTCCCAAGATGGAGAAGGAGGTGTCAGATTTCATTCAAGACAGCGGGCAGATCAAGAAAAAGTTTCAGCCAATGAACAAGATCGAGAGGAGCATACTGTGAGTGTCTCGGGGCTGGGGGAAGAAGGAAATGGGTGGCTAGCGGGGCATGAAAGGGCCAGCAGGGGGCTCCTCCAGAGGAGGGCACTAGGCCCACTCCTGGCTCATGATACTCTTTCCCCTCTGCCGTCCCATCCCAGACATGATGTAGTGGAAGTAGCTGGCCTGACATCCTTCTCTTTTGGGGAAGATGATGACTGTCGCTATGTCATGATCTTCAAAAAGGTAAAAGGCCTGAGTTCCTCATTCTCTCCTCTCCCCTTTGTGGCCTTCTCCCCCTTCCCTGATGAAGGAATGAAATGAAACGTTTGTATGGACTCTGACCCCATCATTGTGCTCTTCTCTAGGAGTTTGCACCCTCAGATGAAGAGCTAGACTCCTACCGTCGTGGAGAGGAATGGGATCCCCAGAAGGCTGAGGAGAAGCGGAAGCTGAAGGTGAGCTATGCGTGGCAGCCCTTGGGGCCCAGAAGCCCACCACCTGGGAGGGGTGGGGATTTGGGCTGGGGCCCTGAGCACCAGTGCCCCCACTTTCACCCCCAGGAGCTGGCTCAGAGGCAGGAGGAGGAGGCAGCCCAGCAGGGGCCCGTGGTGGTGAGCCCTGCTAGCGACTACAAGGACAAGTACAGCCACCTCATCGGCAAGGGAGCAGCGAAAGACGCAGCCCACATGCTGCAGGCCAATAAAACCTACGGCTGTGGTGAGGCCACAGTGCGGCCGGCGTGGCTGGGAGAGGAGCATGGGATGTGGTGGGAGGGCAGTGGAGGCTGAGGTACGGGTTTCTAAGTCCTCCCTACCCTCCTCTCTGCCCCTAGTGCCCGTGGCCAATAAGAGGGACACACGCTCCATTGAAGAGGCTATGAATGAGATCAGAGCCAAGAAGCGTCTGCGGCAGAGCGGGGAAGAGTTGCCACCAACCTCCTAGGCGCCCCGCCCAGCTCCCTTTGACCCCTGGGGCAGGGCAGGGGGCAGGGAGGGACTAGGCTGCTGCTATTAGAACCCATCCTGGAGCCCCACCTCTGAACCGCCTCCTACCAGCTGTCCCGCGGGCTGGGGGACAACAGGTGTTTGATTTGTCACTGTTCGAGCGTGGATATGTGCGTGGTGTGTGTGTGAGAGTGTGAATGCACAGCGGGTATTTAATCTGTATGATTCCCCGTTCTTGGAATTTTCTTCCCCATGGGGCTGGGGTACTTTACATTCAATAAATGCTGTTTAACCCAATGTCCTGGTTGGTTTGTACCCGGAAAGGTGGGCCCTGAAGCCACTGGTAGAGAAGAAGGGGAATAATTTTCAGTGGAACAGCATAAAATTGCTGTTTGTGTAGGTTAAACATGGCCAGTTGACACTATCAGAGGTTTTTTGTTTGTTTTGAGACGGAGTCTTTGTTGCCCAGGCTAGAGTGCAGTAGTGTGATCTCGGTTCACTGCAACCTCTGCCTCCAGGGTTCAAGCGATTCTCCTGCCTTAGCCTCCTGAGTAGCTGGGATTACAGGCATGTGTCACCACACCTGGGTAATTTTTTGTATGTTTAGTAGAGACAGGGTTTCATCATATTGGCCAGGCTGGTCTCTAACTCCCAACCTCAGGTGATCTGCCCAGCCCAGAGGGTTTTATAAGATGCAGTATTTTAAGAGTGCAATCAGAGGCTGGACACAGTGGCTCACACCTGTAATCCCAGCATTTTAGGAGGTCAAGGCTGGAGGATCACTTGAGGCCAGGAGGTCAAGATCAGCCTGGGCAACATAGTGAGACTTTCTCTCTACAAAATTAAAAAATTGGCTGGGTGCAGTGGCTCACACCTGCAATCCGAGCACTTTGGGAGGCCGAGGCGGGCGGATCACGAGGTCAGGAGATCGAGACCATCCTGGCTAACACGGTGAAACCCCGTCTCTACTAAAAATACAAAAAAATTAGCCGGGCGTGGTGGCGGGCGCCTGTAGTCCCAGCTACTTGGGAAGCTGAGGCAGGAGAATGGTGTGAACCCGGGAGGCAGAGCTTGCAGTGAGCTGAGATCATGCCACTGCACTCCAGGCTGGGGGACAGAGCAAGACTCTGTCTCAAAAAATAAATAAATAAAAATTAAATTAAATTAAATAATTGGCTGGGTGCAGTGACTCACACCTGCATTCCCAGCACTTTGGGAGGCCGAGGCAGGAGAATCGCTTGACTCCGGGAGTTTGAGATCAGTCTAGGCCACAAACCTTCTCTACAAAAAGAAAATAAAATATACAAAATTTAAAAATTAGCCATGCCTAGTGGTGTGCACCTGTAGTCCCAGCTACTTTGCAGGCTGAGGCAAGAGGATTGCTTGAGCCCAGGAGTTTGAGGCTACAGTGAACTGTGATCGCATCACTGCACTCCTGCCTGGGTGACAGATAGAGAAGCTGGCTCAAAATAAAGATACAAGAGTATAATCGCTGGAGTCAAATACCTTGGCTTTGGATCCTAATCCTGCCTGCTGCCAACCGTTACTTTGGGTAAGGCATTCAACCTTTTGTGCCTCAGTTTCCTCACCTGTAAAATAAGGATAATTATGGCAGCTATCTGACAGACCTGTTTGAACAATAGCGCAGGACGATACATGTCAAATATTTAGAACAGTTTCAGATCCTGTAAGTTCCGTAGGAGAGGCAGCCACTGTCATTATCACTCTCATCCTCACAAAGCCCTCACTAGGACTGCAGCCTCACTCTAGTGTCCTCTGCAGACCATTTACTTCACAGCCAGCTTCCCCCTCATGGTGGTGGCAGGACCCTCAGCCCCACCCTGCTCCCCTCTCCTGGAGCTGGTTTCTTATTCCCTCTGAAACTCTTTATTAATTTAGTTGTTTGTTTTCGTTTTTGTTGTTGTTGTTGTTGTTGCTTGCAGACAGGGTCTTGCTCTGCAGCCCAGGCTGGAGTGCAGTGGTATGAACAGAGTGTACTGCAGCCTCGACCTCCTGGGCTCAAGCGATCCTCTCAACTCAGCCTCCCAGGTAGCCGGGGCTACAGGCATGTGCCACCATGCCTGGCTCCACTGGCAACTCTGCCTCATTTTGCCATATAGCATCTGCTTTCCCCTACCTCCTTTGGAAATGTGAACACCTCTGTTGTTCTAGATCCACCCAGCTTCCTCTCTGAGTCCCTCACCTCCTCTTTGTCCTAGTGGGTTACACATCTATTTGCCTCCCCTCCCTGCTCCCATCTCTCCACCTCCTGTCTTTCCCAGCTCAGCCCAGAAACCAGCACCCCTCCCCTCGCTCCCACAAAGAAGCACACAGCTGTCTTGGTTGGCACTAGTGTTTATTTCAGGAAGCAGGTCTGGAAGACCTGGGTCTGTCCAGTGGAGTCCTGGAGCCTCCAGCTTCTCACTTGGCCTTCGGGTTACGGAACTTGCGTCCAGCAAAGACTGCCTTGTCCCCAAGAGCCTCCTCGATCCTAGAATGCAGGCAAGGTCAGGGCTGCTGCCTTCCAACCTAATGGCCTCCAGCACCCCAATGCCCAGGCCCACTCTTCCCGCTGTACCTCATGAGTTGGTTGTATTTGGCCAGACGCTCTGAGCGGCAGGGGGCGCCAGTCTTGATCTGATGAGGGAAGAAGGATTTGGAAGGTTGGGTGAGGCTGGAGAGGAGGGGGTTGGACCTGGCCCCAGGGGAACATTCACCTCAGAGGCAGGAGGCCAGAGACCCCAAGAAAACTTGGTGAGACACTCAGTAGACAGAAGCTGCAAGTACCTGTCCTGTGCAGAGCCCCACCACAAGGTCAGCAATGAACGTGTCCTCAGTCTCCCCAGAGCGGTGGCTCACCATCACCCCCCAGCCATTAGACTGAGCCAGTTTGCACCTGAGTGGAGAGGACATTTGATGTGGCCTTCTAGAGGCTCCTCAGTGGGAAAGCAGGGGTTGGGTGGGGCCTGTCCCTGCTGTTTTGGGTAGCAAGCACTCTGCAGGGAGGGCAGTGACTAAGTTCTTTGGGAAGTAGGAGAGGAAAAGAATTCTCATCTTGATTTTGGGCTCTTGAGATGCCGGTGAGAAGAGCAGAATCTGAGAGAGGAATGGTGTGGGCTGCGGGTGGGGGGTCATGAAAGGGCCACAGTGGCAAAGCTCTTGGAGTCAGGCCAAGGATTAGTCAAAGCCTTGAGATCAACGTGTGGGTAGGTCAGGTGCCAGGGGAAAGGTAAGCTTGGAGTTAGTGGGTGAGACTGTAGCTGGAGTGGGCAGAGCGGGGGCAGAGGGAGGCGCCGGTGAGCGTCAGGGTCAGGAGACACTCACGCCTGGATCGATTCGGTCACCGAGCCGATCTGGTTGACCTTTAGCAGTAGACAGTTGCAGGCCTTCTTCTCAACGGCCTGGGCGATCCTCTTGGGGTTGGTGACTGTCAGGTCATCCCCCACAATCTGGATGTTCACCCCCGAGAGGAAGGAGGTCCAAGTGGCCCAGTCATCCTGGTCAAAGGGGTCCTCGATGGAGACCACTGGTGGGGTTTGGGAGCAGAGACAGGGCTAGAGGTCAGAAGGTGCCTCATGGAGGGGTGACAGGGCAGAAGAGCTTAAATCGGGATTTCAATGGGGCTAAGGATTGGTGGGATCCAAGCCCATGGTAAAGCAGGTCACTGAAATCAGGGTATTAGGCAGCTGCAGGGGATTCGGGCAGGAACACTGGGACACCTGAGCGCCTCACCAGGATAGTTCTTGATAAAGCTCTTATACAGCTCTCCGAGCTTCTCCCCAGTGATGTGCCGTGCGGGATCATCGGGCGACTTGAAGTCAAGATCGTACTTCCCATTGCGATAGAACTCAGATGCTGCCACGTCCATGCCGATCACCACCTTGTCTGGGTAACCAGCTGCCTGGATGGCTGTCTTCAGCAGCTCCAGGGCTGGGGGAGGACCAAGAAAGGACCTGAGACTCAGCACCCCTTGTCTACAGCCTCCCCTGCCCATGTGGAGATCCAGGGGGTCTGCCCCCCAGGGTGCTCAGCACTGACCCTCATTGTTCTCCAGGATGTTGGGTGCGAAGCCACCTTCATCACCCACATTGGTGGCATCCTTCCCATATTTGGCCTTGATGACCCCCTTAAGGTGGTGGTAGACCTCAGCACCAATGCGCATGGCTTCCTTGAAGGAGCTGGCTCCCACAGGCAGAATCATGAACTCCTGCATGGCCAGCTTGTTTCCAGCATGGGAGCCCCCGTTGATCACATTGAAGGCCTGAGATGGGGAGAGGGTGTCTGGACCTGGGCTGGGGCATGAGGGCTCAAGAAGGGATGGGGGCGGGGGGTGTTGGGGTGGAAACCTGGCTTCCCTACTTACTAGCTCAGTGGTCTAGGATGAGTAATTTTGTTCAAGAGCCTCTTTCCTCATTTCTTTTTTTTTTTTTCTTGAGACAGAGTCTCGCTTTGTCACCAGGCTGGAGGGCAATGGTGCAATCTCGGCTTACCGCAACCTCTGCCTCCCAGGTTCAAGTGATTCTCCTGCCTTAGCCTCCCAAGTAGCTGGGACTATAGGCGGGCGCCACCATGCCCGGCTAATTTTTGTATTTTTAGTAGAGACAGGGTTTCACCATGTTGGTCAGGCTGGTGTCGAACTCCTGACCTCATGATCTGCCTGCCTCGGCCTCCCAAAGTGCTGGGATTACAGGCGTGAGCCACCGCGCCCAGCCTCTCTTTCCTCATTTCTATAAAATGGGGATAGCACCTACTTCCCTGTAGGATCTTTTGCTGAAAATTAGAGAAATTGAATGTAAAGTTCTTAGCATGTGCCTAGCATATAATAGCTAACACTTTTTTTTTTTTTTTGAGACGGAGTCTGGCTCTGTCGCCCAGGCTGGAGTGCAGTGGCGCGATCTCGGCTCACTGCAAGCTCCGCCTCCCGGGTTCACGCCATTCTCCTGCCTCAGCCTCCCGTGTAGCTGGGACTACAGGCGCCCGCCACCTCGCCCGGCTAGTTTTTTGTATTTTTAGTAGAGACGGGATTTCACCATGTTAGCCAGGATGGTCTCAATCTCCTGACCTCGTGATCTGCCCATCTTGGCCTCTCAAAGTGCTGGGATTACAGGCATGAGCCACCGCGCCCGGCTTTTTTTTTTTTTTTAGATGGAGTCTTGCTCTTTTGTCCAGGCTGGAGTGCAGTGGCACGATCTCGGCTCACTGCAACCTCCGCCTCCCGGGTTCAAGAAATTCTCCTGCCTCAGCCTCCTGAGTAGCTGGAATTACAGGCGCCCACCACCACGCCCAGCTAATTTTTTGTATTTTTAGTAGAGATGGGGTTTCACCATGTTGGTCAGGCTGATCTCGAACCACTGACCTCGTGATCCACCCACCTCGGCCTCCCAAAGTGCTGGGGTTACAGGCGTGAGCCACCGCGCCCGGCCATAGCTAACACTTTTATATGGCATTTACTACATGCCAGGCACTAAGTACTTTACATATATAAGCCCATTTCATTCTCAAAACACCTCTATTCATTGGTATCATTACCCCCATTTTACAGATGGGGAAACTGAGACACAGCAGTTAAAGAACTTGCCTAAAATCATACAACTAATAACAGGCAGAGCCAGGATTCAAACCCAGCAATCTATCTCTAGAGTCCATGCTCTTATGCAATCTTCCTAGTAAGTAACAAGAAATGGTAACATTATTATTGAGATTAAATTCAAAGAGTTTCCATTCATTAAGAGGGCACTGGTGTAAGAAGGACTCAAGAAGATACAAAGAAATGCCAAGATCTTTGCCTCAAAGAAACTCTCAATATGATTTGGGGTGTGGGGTGTAGGGTGCGGGGTTGGCATGAGGCTGGAGTTACCGAGCCTAGGACTGGAATGGCAAGGAACTGGGTTATATGGCAGGGAAGGAAGCACATAGAGCCTTCAGGGAAGGTTTGGATTGTGGGAAAGAGGGAGGGGCTGGACCACAGCAGGAGAGATTCAGTTTCAGGAAACTGCTTCTTAGGAGCTGGTCTGAAAGGTGGATTTTCCATGGGGGCATCCCTGGCTGGGTGGGGGTGGCTCTGTCACGGCAAGATCTAGTGGGGGTGGGTAGCTGCACTTACTGGCACTGGGAGTATGAGGTCAGGGTTCCCAGCGAGATCTGCGATGTGGCGGTACAGGGGGACCCCCTTCTCAGCTGCTCCCGCCTTACACACGGCCAAGGACACGCCCAGGATGGCATTGGCCCCAAACTTGGCTGGAAGGAGGCAAGCGGGAAGAAAGGATGAGAGCTTCTTCCGGGTTTGGGGTGGCTACTCCAAGAAGACGCCAGAGTTCCAAACCACTGAGCATGAAGAATTGGTTAACAGATCTCTCTCCCACCGCCTGAGTAGCTCTGGGAGCCCCCACCCCGGGGAATGTGTCAGCTGCATGTCTGTGTCCACCGCCCAGCCCAGGCCTGGCAGAGGGCAGGCATAGGAAATGCCTGTGGAATGAACACAAATCCATCCAGCTGCGGTGTGACCCAAAATGGGGGACCCAGAAATAACCCATCAGGCCTCACCCCTGTGGCCTCTCACCATCTCTCCCATACCTCAACCCTTCCCCACCGCTGCCCTTCACTCACACTTATTCTCGGTCCCATCCAGCTCAATCATAAATTTGTCAACTTTTTCTTGATCCACAACACTTAGTTTCTGGAAGGGTGGGTTTGAGAGGGGAGAGCAGAGGTCAGATTTCTCAGAAGTCAGGGCACGTACAAGGGGAGGATAAGTGAAAATGGGGAGAGGCGCGTCTGGGGTGAGGGAGCAGGGGCATGGAGAGGAGACTGCAGGGAGCCGGCTTCCCCACTTGCCTTTTGCAGCAGAGCAGGGCCTAGAGTCTTGTTGATGTGCTCCACAGCCTTCAGGACTCCTAGACAGGCCAGAGGACGAGGTTTGGATCTCAATCAATTGGGCCTCTTTCTGTGGACCCCAGCTCCTCAAGAGCTTTGGGGGTTCCAGTCCTCTACCCATTGTGCACCCATGTCCTAAAGCCACCCACACAGACTCCTTCTGCACTGGTGTCTCCTCACCTTTCCCCAGGTAGCGGCCTTTGTCCCCATCTCTTAGTTCCAGAGCTTCATAGATACCTGTGGAAGCCCCACTGGGCACAGCTGCTCGGAATCGGCCTGAGGCAGGAGGAATTGGAAGATCACAGGGATGGCTAGGCCAAGTGGCTCATGCCTGTAATTCCAGCACTTTGGGAGGCCTAGGCAGGTGGATCACTTGAGGTCAAGAGTTCAAGACCAGCCTGGCCAACATGGTGAAACCATCTCTACTAAAAATACAAAAATTAGCTGGGCGTGATGGCACAGGCGTGTAATCCCAGCTACTTGGGAGGTTGAGGCAGGAGAATCGCTTGAACCCGGGAGGCGGAGGTTGCAGTGAGCCGAGATTGCATCACTGCACTCCAGCCTGGGTGACAGAGCGAGAATGTCTCAAAAAAAAAAAAAAAAGAGCTCACAGGGAGTCCCCTCTACCCCTCAAAGGGCTGAGGTATCCTCTCTGAGCTCAGGGACAGGAGGCAGTGCAGAGACTCCTGCTTCTCTTCTCCCAGCTTCCAGCTCTGGTTCCATTTTGGAAGAGGGCTTGGGAAGAAGTCTGGGAAAGGGAACCTGAGAGAAAGGAGAGGATATGGCACAGAATTGGGGGGTAAAGGCCAAAGGGTTGGGGTCTTCTGGGGCGAGCCTATCCAATGGGCCTTATGTTACCCTTGGCTGTGTGCAGGTCCACCTCCACTGTGGGGTTGCCCCTGGAGTCCAGGATTTCCCGGGCAAAGATTTTCTGCATGGCCATGGCTGCAGGACAGGAGGTGTGAGGGTAGACAGTTGATCTCTTAAGGAACCAGAAATCCCTTGCCCTTTAAGAGTCTTCCCCACTCCAAGAAGGCAGGTGCTGGAGCTAAAAATACCCTACAAAAAGGTCACAGACCAAAGAGGCAGGCGCAGCCCCCTCCCCCACTCAGAATAGCTCTTATTCCACCCTCCCATCCTAAGAATCCAGGGGCCTCTCATCTATGGCTCCTAGGATGCCATCACTCCCCAAGCCCCCACCTCCCCCAAGGCTGCACTTAGGCCTTCTCCTTCCACCCTCTGGTCAAGCAGTCTGCTCTCCACGGCTGGTGGCCTTCAAATCCTTTCTGGTTCTCATTTTCCTGCTCCGAAATCCTCTTGGGCCCCCAGTTCCCTACCAGGTTCCAACTCTAGCTGCCCTTCTCTATCCATCCTTACTGCCCCTCCTCACAGCCTCCTTTCCCTAGATCCTTGGGTGCTCCCAGAGTTTGTCCCATCTGCTTGCTCCAGCCGCCCCTTCCCCCAGCTTTTTCAAGCACCTCCAGTCCCAGGAGAAAAAAAAGCAGAAACGTCCCCCACTTCCTCCAACTCAACACCATGCGCACCCTTTACTACGTCCACCCCGGGGGCTGGAAGATTTAGCTGACCTGGGATGTCTTCGTTGGAGTTTTGGATGGAGCTCCGAGTCTAGGTGGCAGCTGGGACAGTGTCAGCTCACCCCCTCTCGGGCTGCGCATTTATCCCTGAGCCACTGGGTCCCCAGCCAGCCCCGCCTCTCTCTGTCTCCATCCTCCCCCCTTCACACTGGGCTGGCAGCCAAGTGCCCACTACAGCCTAAAGCAGAAGCCTCTGGCCCTGGGCACCTGCCCCCTTACCAAAGGTCAACTACTATCCCCCACTTTCTTTCCGTCCCCCAGTAACAGTCCCAGTTTTAATTCCACCCTTTGGGAGGAGCGGGGGAGGGGCTTCAGATGAGGGGTCTCCCCCACCCCAGGATTACATTCCCCTTTTGCAAACGTCAAGAGGAATGTGTGACCTTTAGGAAAGGCCAGGGGTAACCTGAGCCCTGCAAGGCTGGGGAGGGGGCCTCGAAGAGGGGCTGCAGGATTGACATCCACACATGCTCAGATCGCTGGGCGGGCCTCTGCCCTCAGTGGGGGAAGGGAGGGGACTTCTGGGCAAGCTCTGACGTCTAAAATTGAACCCCCCCACCCCAGAAGGCGAGAGAGTCTCACCTCTTAGGGTCCTCATAACGGCCATTATCGGCGCCGCCCCATCCTACCTCTCCAGGCCAGCCAGGGCAGGGATGAATTAGGGGCCAGGAGACAAATTTAGACGGGCCCTCTCGGCTGGCGCGGCGCCCGATTGATAACGCTAGGACAGCACTTGTCGCCCGGCATGGGGACTATTGGTCAGAGCCCTTCTCCCCACCGACTGTGGGCGCTCAGCGCACGGCCCCAGCCCATCAATGAATGGGGTTGAATCAACAGTGAACAAAAATGAATGGACCGAGGACGGGTGGCCCTTTGTGAGCTTCTGCACGCCTGGGGCTCCTCCGGCGCCCCGCCGTAGCACTGCGGGGAGGTGGGTCTCTGCTCTCGGTAGAGATCTCCACCTTGCCAGCTCTGGGGCCAGTGCGGGGTCTGCCCCGAGCTCCTCTGCAGCCATGCCAGCCGAACGGCTGGGGTCACGGGGCTCGACTCGGAGGCCCTTCCCGCCGGCGCCGGGGCAGCCCGCGCCCGGTGACTCACCCCCGCCTCCCTCTCCCCACCCCTGCTCCCCGCCCCGCCGGCCAGCGCGGCCTCCCAGCCCCCACCTCAAGCCACCTGCCCCGCCACCCGTCCCGTCTCCCATCTTGCCCCGCCCTCTCATCTCAGGCCCCTCCTCCCGGGATTTTTCCACCCTGGGGTGGGGGTGCGGCGGGTCAGGGGTCAGGAGATGGCGGGCGGGGAGCGCCGCCACGTGCCCGGGTGCGGCCCCGCCCGAGCCCGCCAGTGACTCAGCCGCGCGGCTGTCGAGGAACACGGGCTCGAGGGGCGTCGGGGACTGTGGGGTTCGGCGTGGACGCCAGGGATGCGCGCCGCACTCGGGAGGAGGAGAGAGAAAACCAAGCCCCTTTCCGCCCGGGCCGCGCTCCGTGACCTCGCGCCCCTAACCCAGGCTCCGGAAGCGGCCCAGCCCTCGGCGGCGGGTCGGAGAAGACGGCTTCACCGCGGCCGCCGCCCGGCCGCCCCGCCCTCCCCAGGTGGCGGCGAGCGCACATCTGACTGAGAAGAAACCCAAAGGGCCCAAAGTGGGACTTTCCCCTTCTTGAAAAAGTTGCCACTCTTGCAACTTGAGTATTCTTCCGCCTCGAAAAATAGCCCCGCCTGTTAAGCCCCGCGGGTGTCCGCGCCCAGTGACCTCTGCAGACTCAGGCCAAGGGGCACGGCCGGTGATCCAGACATTGCCTGCCCGGGGCGGGCGCGGCTGGGATGTGGGATAAGGCCCTGGGCTAGAGCCGATCCAGAGAAGGGACAATCCTCTGGACTGAGAATGGGCCCTGGTGAACCTAACCTGCACTACCCGGGAAGACGCTGGGGACCGAAGTGGCCCCGGTGGGTGCCTTCAGCTATGAGAGCGACTAGGGTATTTGGCCAAACTCCCTTTGCTTTCCTATTGAATAAGTAAAATCAAGGGTGGTGAGGCGGCAGCGTGCACGGCTTCGCCCCCGCCCTTTCCGCCAGGCGGGAGACACGTCCCCAGCCCGCCTTCCTTTCCCGGAGGGTCCACATGGGTCGGGTCGGGCGCGCTCCCGTGCAGCCGGCTCCGGCCCGGACCGCCCCATGCGCTCTCCCTCCCGGCCTTGGCGCAGGCGCAGGCGCGGGCACACGCGCCGCCGCCCGCCGGTCCTTCCCTTCGGCGGAGGTGGGGGAAGGAGGAGTCATCCCGTTTAACCCTGGACTCCCCGAACTCTCCTTAATTTGCTAAATTTGCGGCTTGCTAATTCTTCCTCCTTTCTCTTCCCTTCCTTCCTTCTGGCTCACTCCCTGCCCCGATAGCAAAGTCTGGTTTATATTCAATGCAAATTGGAGCAAACCCTACCCTTCACCTCTCTGCCGCCACCCCCCATCTTTCTACATTGCTTTCCATCGAACTCTGCAAATTTTGCAATAGGGGGAGGGATTTTTAAAATTGCATTTGCAAAGTTCGGTGTCTGGGCTGGCGAGTGGGGGAGGGAGGGAATGGGGAGTAGGCCCCGCCCCTACCGTCCTTTGCAAATAAAAATCTAGCGGGGCGGGGGGGAGGAGCAGGAAGTGGCGGTGCGAGGGCTGCTGCACAGCGAGCAGAGCCGCGGTCCGGACGGCAGCGCGTGTCTCGAGCTCTCCGCCTCCCCCCGCCCGCCAGCCGAGGCAGCTCGAGCCCAGCCCGCGGCCCCAGCAGCAGCGCCGAGAGCAGCCCCAGTAGCAGCGCCATGGCCGGGTGGAACGCCTACATCGACAACCTCATGGCGGACGGGACCTGTCAGGACGCGGCCATCGTGGGTTACAAGGACTCGCCCTCCGTCTGGGCCGCCGTCCCCGGGAAAACCTTCGTCAACATCACGGTACTGCGAGGCCTGCGGTCCGGGGCACTGGTCGGGCTTGGACCCTGAGGGAGGGACTTGGGTGGGGGCGGGCGCGGTCTAGAGCGCGCAGCGAGAGGCCCTGACTGGGTGCTTGTCCTGGAAGCCGCGCGAATGGCGGCTGCACGTGAGCGGGTCCCTCGGTTGCTCCTAAGTCCTATGCCCCAGGCGGCGGCGCCCATCCCGCCCGCTACCCCGCTTTCCGCGACGGGGCGTTACATCCGGGGCACAGGGCGGGGAGGGGCGCGGCGCCCGGTGCGGCGGCCCACTTCCGCCTCTCCCAGGGCGGGGTGGGGACGCGCCTCAATTTTAATTGGGGATTGGGATTGAGAGGTGACCCGGGGACCCTCGAATCCCCACCTCCCCGTCCGGCCGCCAGCTCGCGCCCCTCTACCATTGTTTCCCCTGGTGCGGGAGGGAGCCCCAGGCGCGTGGTATTGGTCCCTTGCCCACCCTCTGTGGACTCCCGGCCCCTCCCAACTCCGTCAGAGAGGGCGAGGCCACCACACGCCCCCCCAGCTCAGCACGTTGGACTCAACATTCCTGCGAGGCCAATCCCGGAAGTCCCCTCGCCCTCCCTTCCCGCCATCCGGCGGGGCCTGGAGCAGGGGAACTTTGTGAGAAGTTCTGAGACAGCATAAGCGAAAGAATATGAGTTGACTACCGCTGCTCCCACCACCATCTCCCTGTCCACACTGCCCGGAAGTGGGGAGGGGGAGCGGAAGTTCGAAAGGGGGGGAAGGGGGCTTCCGGGCGGGAGGGAACCGGATGTGGGGGCTTGGGGTGAAAGGGGGAGGGGGGAAAAGGTTCCTGGGGTACCTAGACCCGAGAGCTGGCTTGCCGGGTCTAGCCCCCGTCCACCTTCAAAAGTTTTCCAACTTTCCCGGAAAGCCCCCAGGGGTCTGCTTCCTCTTGTCAGGGCAGACATACCTGGAGCTAAACTAGGTTACTTGGAGACCCAGGCGTCCGGGCCCTAAGAGCTCCTGCAGAACCTTTGACCAAATAAGGGCAAAGTTGCTTCTCTTGCCTCGCCCGCCCCCCTCCCTTCCCCTCTCCGCTTCTGCTTTTCCTGAAGGAGAGTTCTGAGCATCCAAAGACTCCTCACTTTTATCACTGATTCCCTTTATTTCCTGGGTTTACTTTCCCCCATTAACACTGAGATCTAAATCTCTAGAGGAGTACATCATCTCTTCCTCCCTAGTCCCATATTCTAGGTTTGAGAATCATGATCGTTTTCTGCACTAACGTTCCACAGTCCTCAGAGTTTCTCACAGTTCATTGATGGGTACTGAGTATATAACTTCGCGGGGTGGGTCTTTGGAGAACAAGGTGGGAATCTTGGTGCACTGACTAACTTGATGGGCGCTTGGTTCCTCTTCCAGCCAGCTGAGGTGGGTGTCCTGGTTGGCAAAGACCGGTCAAGTTTTTACGTCAATGGGCTGACACTTGGGGGCCAGAAATGTTCGGTGATCCGGGACTCACTGCTGCAGGATGGGGAGTTTAGCATGGATCTTCGTACCAAGAGCACCGGTGGGGCCCCCACCTTCAATGTCACTGTCACCAAGACTGACAAGAGTGAGTTCCTGAGTCTCACCCTTCCTCTAGCGTCAAGATCTCTCATGTACCGCCTTCTGGTAATCTTGAGGGTGCTTTCTTGTGTGATTCCCCAGCATGAAGGCAGTCAGACCAGTATTCTGCCCCTTGTCTGCTGGATGCTGGATGGAACATGGGATAGTCCCTCCATTTCCGTCTCAGTTCCTCATCTTGTAATTCGAAGTTGTTGAACTGCATTACCTCTTAAGTTACTTCCTGCCTTGAGCTCGGATTAGAAACTGTTTTCTAGGAGTATAGGTAGATTGTTGGGGTCCTGAATCATCATTTAGTTAATCGTTTGAGCTCTTTTGTTAGAACCTGGAGGTGGCATGCTCATCCACAGCCCTTTCTAGCCTGAACACGAGTCAACAGTCTATGAGCCTTTGACTCCTAAGTTTTTAGTCTGTTCCTCTCCAGCATTTAAGCTTGATTTTCCTCTTTTGAAAAGCCTTATTGTTTCAGGGTGACTGACAGCCTGCCTGTGTGTGTGTGTTGGGGGGGGGTTGGGAGAGATGAGGTTGGGTTACAGCCCCCAGGGCTGGACAGCTGCTGAACAGCTGGCAGGGGGTGGAATTGTGACACCTGGGTCCTAGCCTCCTTTCTCTTTCCTCCTCCTCCAGCGCTAGTCCTGCTGATGGGCAAAGAAGGTGTCCACGGTGGTTTGATCAACAAGAAATGTTATGAAATGGCCTCCCACCTTCGGCGCTCCCAGTACTGACCTCGTCTGTCCCTTCCCCTTCACCGCTCCCCACAGCTTTGCACCCCTTTCCTCCCCCATACACATACACCATTTTATTTTTTAGGCCATTACCCCATACCCCTTATTGCTGCCAAAACCACATGGGCTGGGGACCAGGGCTGGATGGACAGACACCTCCCCCTACCCATACCCCTCCTGTGTGTGGTTGGAAAACTTTGTTTTTTGGGTTTTTTTTTTTTTTTTTTTTCTGAATAAAAAAGATTCTAACAAGGTGCTGTGTGATTTGAGCTTGGGTGTCAGAATGGGGGACAGGCACTGTGACTTGCCTCCTTTATCATGGCTTGGGAGCAGGAAGGTTGAGGTACTACAAGGTGCAAGAATTTGAGCTTCTGGCCAGGTGGCCCTGCCCCTCCACAGTGGTATTTCCAGGCCTAAGTCCTCAGTGTGCTGGTTAAATTGGTGGATAATGGAATAGAGCCATCTGGACCAGAGAATGGGTGCAGGCCTGCAGGCAAGGCAGGGCTAGTTGAGTCATCCTTGTGGGTGGGGCTCCCCCTGAGTCATAGCAAATGCCTGCTGGGGCTGTCCCCATGACTATAGGTTAGTGTCTCAGCATTCTCTTGCTCCTTATGGCTAAAGGGGTGATTCCCCCAAAGGGTTAAGTTCACCTAAAAATTATCTCACCCTTCCTTAGTCCACAAAAAACAATTTTATTAGCCCAAGAAGTGAAGACCCAGTCCCTTTGCTTGCCCCAGCCCCACCCCAATGCCCCTCAAAAGGATAGGTGTGGGTAAGGAAGCAGCTTAGGATGGAATGTCCCCTATCCCTCAACTTAGAAGACTGGAGGGAAGAAGACGGTCTGTGCAAATAGGTCACCAGAAGTGTACGTGTAGAGGGTTATTAGACCAGGATGACGGGGGAAGAGGGAGGAGAGGGTGGGGGGTCTGTTGAAGGCCCAGGAAAAACAAGGGGAGCTGGGGCTAGGGAACCAAATGAGGTGGGAAGAGTGGGGCTAGAACCCAAAAGTGGGGTCCTTTCGGAAGCAGGGTGGTCCCTTGGCTCCCCTTCTTCACCCTCCTCTTGCCCCTGAGCTTCTTCCTCTTGCTCTTCGTCCCCAGGACCACGATGAACAGGCTGCTTGCAAATGGGGCAGGTCTTCCGGGTCTGAGTCAGCCAGGGGTCCACGCAGCGGCTGTGGTAGGCTGCAGAGAGGAACAAGGTGAAGCACCTGGTGGCTGCCAGTGGCAGAGGGGCATGGGCAGGCAGTGAGGGCCTCACCATGAGCACAGGGGAGTACCCGCAGCTTGTCTCCATCTTCATATTCATCCAGGCAGATGGCACAGACATCATACTGGTCTCCTGGGACAGAAAAAAAATAATCTAGTCCTTCACTGAGCCATCGTGACCCAGGGCTAAGGCTTTTAAAGCCTTGCGAAAATTTTCCCTCACCTACAAAGCCAGTGGAAGAGCTAAGACAGGTAGGCAGGATAAGGTCAGGGCAGAACATGGAAGAATTTAGGGCTAAAAGGGACAAGCAAAGAGAAGCAGAGGTAAGAAGGGAAGTGGTTTTTGGGGAGGTGTGAGGGTGGAGATAGGGAGTGGAAGGGACGGAAATGGGCAGGGCTTCTGCCATAGCCTTATACGGGCACTGGAGGCCCCAGGGCCTAAAGCCCCAGCCCCACAGTACCACTTTCTTCCTTCTCTAACTGAATCCTCCCCCATTTCCTCCCATTTTTCTGCTCTCTCCACATGCCCCATAAGCAAAGTCTGTCCCTCTATTATTTCCCACAATTATTTCACTTAATCATCTTTGCTTTACATCTCTCCCATCTTCACTGTATTTATGGGTAAAAACAAGACAAGACAGCATCTCAAGCTGAAAATTTCTTACTGCCATCTTTATTACTTTTATTTTTTTGAGAAAGGGACTCCCTCTGTCGCCCAGGCTGGAGCACAGTGGTGCAATCTCAGCCCCCTACAACCTCCGCCTTCCTGGTTCAAGTGATTCTCCTTTCTCAGTCTCCCAAGTAGCTGGGACTACAAGCGCACAACACCATGCTCAGCTAATTTTTGTTATTTTTTATAGAGATGGGGTCTCACCACGTTGCCCAGGCTGGCCTGGAACTCCTGGGGTCCAGGGATTCACTTGCCTCAGCCTCCCAAAGTGGTGGGATTTTTTTGTTTCATCATGTTGCCCAGGCTGGTCTCAAACTCCTGGGCTCAAGCGACCTACCCACCTCGGCCTTCCAAAGTGCTGGGATTACAGGCACTTGGGATTACGTGAGCCACTGTGCCCAGCCACTGCCATCTTTGTATACCCTATCTTCTGGGCTCAAAGTCCTTCAGAACCAGGTAAACGGTGGGAAAAACCCTCTCCTCCCCTAACCCCTCACCCTTCTGATAGTCATGTGTAGGAATCTGTTTCAGTTGCTCTTTGGTAAGTCGATTCCGCTGGAGCCGTTTCCGGTGCTGGATACAACGAACTATCTGGTGGAAGAGGGGGTGGATGGACAAGGCTTAGGAATAAAACTAGACAATCTAGGACAAGCCACTCCCATCTCCCAACTCCAGATCCAGTCTGGCCTCAGTGCTTCCCATCATGTTCCCTCAGCTACTCACCATTACTGCTCCCATGGCCAAAACCAGCAGTCCCACAATCCCTGTGAAAGGGATGAGGTAATAGCCCAAGGGGAAGGTATTGTCTGGAACCAGAAGCACCCGAGCCCTGGGAAAGGACGACCAGTCTCAGCAGGGAAAGAAAGGCAAAGGGAGAAAAACAGAGGGACAAAGCAACTGGCTCTGGACAAAGCCCATAGGTGGGGATGGGAATGGGAAGAAAGTCAAAGAGGCAGGGAAGGAAGGACAGGAGGCTGAATGGTTCGGGTAATGAGGCCTGGGCTCCAGGTTGGCATGGAACTGCTTGCTGAAGGAAGAATGGGAAGGAGGCATATGTCCTACCCCTTTTCGTAGACAAAGAGGGCACGCAGGTACTCGGAGCTTCTCTCCCCAATAAATACAGATGGGATCCAGATCTGCTGCTGGATTTCCTCTGCAGGGATCAAGGTGTTACTCTGGGGACTCACAACCTTCTACTCAAATCCTTTGGGAACCCTGGCATCTGGCACTTTCGCCCCAACCCACCTAAAGGATTGGCTTCTTTTCCTGAAGCCTTCAGCCTTCCCACCATCTCTGGGTCCTACTGAAAGCCCAGCTGTATAGATTCCTCCAGCCTTACCACTGTTCCACACCATGTTCAGAAGTTCATTGGAATTCACATTGTGTACTACAGCGGCACCATATCCAGCCTTCTGGGCATTTAGGACCTAGGAAGACAAGGCAGAGGACAAGGAGCCATCATAGGCCTGACTTGTCTTCATTCCTGGTGCCTTTTTTTACCCTCAGCTGCCCAGCTCCCACTCCACATTCAGCAACCTTGAGGTCAAAGTTGCAGTCGAATCTTCGAAGCAGCGCAATAAAGACTGACCCATTGACCGGGGCTGGGGGTGGTGGGGCAATGGGGCTGCAGGCATTGTCTGGGTGAGCCTCCACAAGGAACCCCTGAAGGATGGAAGCAAACAACAGTGAGATTTCTCCTCCCTAGATTTCACTCCTACAAGGGCCACCAAACACACCAGCCCACATGCTGCACATCCTCTATCCTCACTTCCTTCTCCTTCCTGGGGTCTGAGCATCGCAACCTCACAACTTTCTCTTAGCCTCTTGAAAAGGTAATGACATAAAACATCCCTTCACCAAACTCTCCCATCATCCCTCTCGCTGTCCCAGATGGGCTAATCTGTACCCTAAACCGCAAGCTAATGCAATTACTTTGCCTTCTAATGTTCTGACTCTCAAGTTCTGTTTCACAGTTTCCTCTCCAATACTTACACAGAACACACTCCCTTCCCTTCAATTTTCTTTTTCTTTTTTTGAGATGGAGTCTCGTTCTGCCACCCAGGCTGGAGTGCAGTGGTGCGATCTCGACTCACTGCAACCTCCACCTCCCGGGTTCAGGTGATTCTCCTGCCTCAGTCTCCCAAGTAGTTGGGACTACAGTCATGCACCATCATGCACAGCTAATGTTTGTAATTTTAGTAGAGATAGGGTTTCACTATGTTAGCCAGGCTGGTCTTGAACTGGGATTACAGATGTGAGTCACCGCGCCCGGCCTCTTCAATTTTCTAATTACCCATCTCACAAACAACTCCACTGCTACTACGGCCCAACTGAGTTCTTGCTATGTGGCAGTCTTTGGGATGAAGTACTACAAAAATTGCGTATCTAATTTAATCTTCACAATAACCCTAGGAAAACTTAAAATATCCCATTTTACAGTAAAACAAACTAAGGCTCAAAGAGAAATTAACTTGCCCAAGGTCATACAAGCAATAGCTTCTGAGACCCTCTTGATAAGGACCGTTGATCCTACCTTCCGTCTCTGTCCACTTTCAGTCTCCCTGATAACCTCGGAGTTCCAGGGGTGGACACTTTGTCTTCTCCCTCTGGATTCTGGATTCTACACTATACGTGCTCAGTTCCTAACTTGATTTTCCTACCTCCAGTTTCACCCAGGACAAACCTCCCCAACCCCAGCCCAGGATGGAAGATCTTGCTAAATATTAAAAAAAGAAAAAAGACAGAAAAGGAAGGAAAGGGGGGGAAGGAGAGGAAGAAAGAAAAGAAAGAAAATCACCTGGAGTCCCTCTTGGCTCAAGGTAGCCCCAAACAGAGCTGGGAGGTCTGCAAAGTCCATGCTGGCATTGTGGTCCGAGGTCTGCGGACAAAAAAGGCAATGTTCCCCTTCAGCCTGCAACCCTTCCCTTCAGCGCCCTTGCCTCCTCCGTCCCTCGGACTCACCGCTCGAATGAGCCCCCGGATGGGGGCCGCTCCCCACAGCACAGCGGCCACAACCACAGGAAGCGGGAAGGCTGCAGGGTGCATGGCAGCGGGAGGAAAGAGGCTGAGGAGGCCGCTCGTCCTGGTAGCAAGGAGCAGAAGCGGAGTTCTGCGCCCTCCCTGCCCCTCCTTTAGGATCCCAGGGGTCCAACCACCCCCAGGTCCCACTTCCCAGCTACATGGAGGCGCCGGGGAAGGAACCCCGACTCAAAGAATGAGATATCCAACCCGTTTAGTGGAGCTGGGTGAGAGGCACTAAATGTATCCTTTTCTGGTACGGGGATAAAACCGGGAAAGGGGACGGAGCCTAACACAGGTGACAGAAAAACTTCGGGAAGGGTGGCGGAGCTCAAGGAGGTGGGACTTCCTGCCAGGTGGGCCGTGTTCCCAGCCTCTGGAAAAGGGCTTCCGGTAGAGAAAGTCAGGCCGCTTTCAGCATTTGATGCTTGAGATGAAGAACTTTCGGTCCTAAAAGGCCAGTTAAAGAAAGGTCAGCGATGGAGGGAGTGCCTGTGGAGATGGAAGGAGCACTGGTGGCCCAGAAGACGACCTAATAAAGGTGCCCGGAAACCTGGAGCCACCTAGTTTACAAACCTCTCCTCCCGCTGGCCGCCGCCACCGCTCCTTCAAATCTCGCGAGAGTGCTCCCCACCTCCCCCGTCCCCTCGCTGCTGAACGCTTGGTGTGTCTATCGCGAGAGCTCTCCTACTCTGGTGAGCCGTACTCACTCGATCTCGCGAGACCTTGAGACAAACTCATCTCTATTTTCCCGCGATTCCAATTTGGTGAAAACTGCGCCTTTCCTCTGGTTTCCTAAATCAGTTACACCCCTTCTCGCACGCTTCCCTCAAGCTCCTCCTTCAGCTCCGCCTTACTCCCGGCCGCCTTTGCGCTGCGCGCCTGCGCCCGCGCTGGCTTCCAGCGGGTGCCGGACCTGAGAGCCGGAGGGGCGTGCGCGCGCCCTCGCCCTGTTGCGCGCGCGGTGTCACCTTGGGCGCGAGGGGGGCCGCGCGCGCACGGGACCCGGAGCCGAGGGCCATTGAGTGGCGATGGCGGCGACGGCGAGTGCCGGGGCCGGCGGGATGGACGGGAAGCCCCGTACCTCCCCTAAGTCCATCAAGTTCCTGTTTGGGGGCCTGGCCGGGTAAGCTCAGGCCCCAGGGATGGGAAAAGAGGAGGAAGGGACGGGTGCAAGGAACCGGGCCCGGTTCATCTCTGGGTCTGTTGCAGTGAACTGTGCCGGCACGGGGTCAGCGTGATCTCCAGCGTATTACGAGTTCCCCAATGGGCTGCTAGGGCCCCATGCAAGGCCCCTTCTGGACTGCATGCGGGGTCGTTGCACAATCCCCGCCGGGCCACCTGAGTTTCCCAGCGCATTGCTAAGCTTGGCCGGGCTACAGGGGATTCCAGGCCATTAAATGGCTCCTGGAGGACTACCTGGAGTCCTAAATCTTGGATGCCCCTTCGTCCCCTCCCTGTGTCGGACTGCGTGCAGCCCCAGGTCACTGCTTGACTGTCATGAAGCTGCTTGGAGCACTTGCATTGCATGGCCCCGACTGGACAACTAGACTTTTCAGACCCGTTGCACTCGGTGTACATATAGACTCTTATACACATGCTCACCAGCATCCTGATTCTTGAATCGCATGGCAGGCCCTGACCTTTGTAACCTCTTGCTGCCAGGCTCCAGTGGGCACTGGTAGATCTGGAATAGTGAATCCCTTCACTCCACCTCTATCTTCCCCCAGGATGGGAGCTACAGTTTTTGTCCAGCCCCTGGACCTGGTGAAGAACCGGATGCAGCTGAGTGGGGAAGGGGCCAAGACTCGAGAGTACAAAACCAGCTTCCATGCCCTCACCAGTATCCTGAAGGCAGAAGGCCTGAGGGGCATTTACACCGGGTATTGGGGCCTCAGGATGGAGGGTAGGCTGTGGGTTGGTAGCTCCAGACCTTGGCCTGATATGCTGACCCCTCTGCTCCTCAGGCTGTCGGCTGGCCTGCTGCGCCAGGCCACCTACACCACTACCCGCCTTGGCATCTATACCGTGTTGTTTGAGCGCTTGACTGGGGCTGATGGTACTCCCCCTGGCTTTCTGCTGAAGGCTCTGATTGGCATGACGGCAGGTGCCACTGGTGCCTTTGTGGGAACACCAGCCGAAGTGGCTCTTATCCGCATGACTGCGGATGGCCGGTGAGTTCCAAGTCTGAGCCTCACCCCAGCCCCATTCCCTGGAATCTAGAATGAAAGGACCCCTTTTCTATCCCACATCTAGAGCAGAGCGTTTACCTGTTCTGGCCTTCCTTTCTTTGCATCTGTGGGGCCCTGTGGGCTATCCTGATCTTGACCTCTTCCTGCCTTCTTATCAGGCTTCCAGCTGACCAGCGCCGTGGCTACAAAAATGTGTTTAATGCCCTGATTCGGATCACCCGGGAAGAGGGAGTCCTCACCCTGTGGCGGGTGAGTGGAGGGGCTGGAGACTTGGGGGCTGTGAAGTCCGGTTTTAGGGGTTTCTGACTCTTGCCCGCTCCCCTCCCTCCAGGGCTGCATCCCTACCATGGCTCGGGCCGTCGTCGTCAATGCTGCCCAGCTGGCCTCCTACTCCCAATCCAAGCAGTTCTTGCTGGACTCAGGTGAGACCCAGAGCTGGGCCCTTAGCTCCCAGCCTGGCCTGAGCCACCTCTGAGCTGACTGCCACCCCCGCCTCACCTCCCCCAGGCTACTTCTCTGACAACATCTTGTGCCACTTCTGTGCCAGCATGATAAGCGGTCTTGTCACCACTGCTGCCTCCATGCCTGTGGATATTGCCAAGACCCGGTGAGTGTGCAGTCTGGTCCTGGAGGTGGGTGGGAAGGTGTCCTTTCGGTCTCTCATGCCCCTGCCTTCTCCCCTTCAGAATCCAGAACATGCGGATGATTGATGGGAAGCCGGAATACAAGAATGGACTGGTGAGGAAGCCATTCTGGGAGCCTGGGTGGGGTGTCAGATCCCCTGGGAAAGGTGTGAAGGCAGCTGGGTAAGGGGGATGGGCCCTAGAGTCCCAGCCCCAGTTCCCTGCTTGTCTGTGTCTAGGATGTCCTGTTCAAGGTTGTCCGCTACGAGGGCTTCTTCAGCCTGTGGAAGGGCTTCACACCGTACTATGCCCGCCTGGGTCCCCACACCGTCCTCACCTTCATCTTCTTGGAGCAGATGAACAAGGCCTACAGGCGTCTCTTCCTCAGTGGCTGAAGCGGCCGGGGGCTCCCACTTGCCTGCTGCGTCTATGGCCACTGCGCCCTGGGGGCCTGGGCTCTGCTGCCCTGGACCCCTCTATTTATTTCCCTTCCACAGTGTGGTTTCTTCCTCTGCGGTAAAGGACTTGGTCTGTTCTACCCCCTGCTCCAGCTTGCCCTGCTCATCCTGATCCTGTGATTTCTCTGTCCCTGGCTATTCTTGCAGGGAGCTGGAAAACTTCCTGAGGATTTCTGGCCTCCCCCTGGGTTTTAGTTTCAGGGCACACAGGACAGCAGAAGATCCCCCTTCTCATTGGGGAAACCAAGGCAGAACTGAGGGGATAGGGAGGAGCAGAAGCCATCAAGATGGTCAAAGGACCTACAGAGGGAGATGTGGCCCTTCCTCCCCCTCACTGAGGACTTAATAAATCGGATTGATGACACCAGCCCCAAATCTGGAGAGTCTGGGGGGTGGCTAGGAGAGGGGAGGAGACTGGACAAAGAAGCTGGTGCCCCTGGAGAATAGGAACTGGAGTTTTTAAGAAAAATTGTTAAAGAAAAAGCAGCCGCTGGTTTTATGCAAATGCTGTGTAAATCTGTCATGCCACAGCAGCTGACAGGGCTAGAAAAACTCAAATCCCAGGCCCAGCGTGTTTCCTCCAGCCACTTGCCCAAGAATGCCACAGACGCACAGATCATTTCACATAATCCCCAGGAAAAGCCCCTCGGTCTGATGACTGCTTCTGCAGCCTAAAGAGGGAGGAGTTAAAGAGACTCTGAGAGAGGAAGACCATTGTGGGGTGGAGGCAGTGCGGGTGGAGGGCCAGGGCTTAAGTGGGTGGGCACTGGAAGCTTGAGGAAAGAGGGATGCTGGCCAGAGACCTGATCTTCGTCCTTGGCTGGGGAGAGTGAGAACCTTATCCATTTCTTTAGAAGATGTGTGGTTCCCAGGCCAGCCCTCAAGGAGCCTTAAAACCTCTTTGGGGCATAAAAGAACTTGGGAAGGTCAAACTGAGGAGTGCTGGCCAGGCTAGGGGACAGGCAGGCAGCAGGTGGGAGCTGTCCCTTTGGCAGAGCCTCATCAGCAGAAGAGGTGGAGCTCAGCATCGTGGCACCCCTGCTGCTGCCTCCGTGTACACTCTGTCCTGGGCCTTAGTGGCTATTGTAAGACACTTGAAGCCTAAACCTTGTCCTTAGGGAGTTTCCAGTCCAGAAGGCAAGATTATACAGGAGCAGTTGGGAAACAGTGTAGCAATAGTGTTGCAGGGTAACCTGGAAAGCACCTGACCTCACCTGGGAGAAGTGACTTGCACACTGAGTGGTTATACTGGCTGGGGAGGGGGCAAGGACAGCACACCTGGCTGGACTGAGGGCAAAGGCCTAGAGTAAAACACTGTCGGGGAGCAGGTGATCTATAGGCTTGTGATAGTTGGAGCACAGGCTGTGATCTGCCTTGAGATGAAGCTGGACTGTCAGATGGGGTCAGTGCGTGGCACTCCCTGACTGCCAAGCTCAGGAGTTGGTCCTCCACCTGGGGAGAGATGCAGTCAGACTTTCAGGTTTGGGAGATCTTCCGGGACCATCTGGAGGGGGATGGGGGTCTCCATGGTCCCATTCTCTGGGCCCCAAGCCCTGGATTGGGCTGGAGACAAGGCAGGAGAGGAAGCCACACCAGTGTGTTTAGGGAATGGCAGGATTTATGAGAAAAATGGGGTTCCGTTTGCCTGTGTCCCAGCCTGAGAGCAGGAAACCCAAGACTATTCAGTCACACTCACCAAATGGTGCATGCTGCAGGGCCCACCCCTTGCTGTCCTGCTGACCTGGGCAGTGAGAGCTGCACTTCTGAGACTGCAGGTGCAAAGCAGGCACCCACCTTTGCCCCTAGTACTGCAGGCTGCTGCCAGGTGGGTGTCAGCAGTTGTCGTTAAACTCCAGGAAGACGAAAATTTTTGAGCTGGATCTGATGCCTAGGGTGGCCTGGTGGGTGGCCAGCCCTGGAGGAGAGAAGGAGGCACCCCAGGCAGGGGAAGTGCAGGCTATAACTGAAGGTCTATTGGATAAGTTGTGACCAGTGTAGGGGCAGTTGGAGCCTCGTGAATTCTCATGACAGGTGCCCCAGCCACTCTTCACTGAAAGAAACCAAGTTGTTTTGAGACAGGCTCTCACTCGGTCACCCAGGCGGGAGTACAGTGGCACAGTCAGGGCTCACTGCAGCCTCCGTCTCCCAGGCTCAGGTGATCCTCCCTCCTCAGCCACCCAGGTACCTGGGACCACAGGCACACATCACCACACCTGGCTGACATTTTGTATTTTTTGTAGAGATCAGGTTTTGCCATGTTGCCAAGCCTGGTGTCAAACTCCTGGGTCCAAGCAACCCACCGGCCTCAGCCTTCCAGAGTGTGGAATTACAGGTGTGAGCCCCTGAACCCGGCCAGAAGGCTTTTTTTTTTTTTTTAGATGGAGCCTCACTCTGTTACCCAGGCTGGAGTTCAGTGGCACAATCTTGGCTCTCTGCAACTTCCACCTCCCATGTTCAAGCGATTCTCCGGCCCCAGCCTCCCAAGTAGCTGGGATTACAGGTGTGCACCACCATGCCTGGCTAATTTTTGTATTTTTAGTAGAGACTGGGTTTCACCATGTTTGCCAGGCTGGTCTCAAACTCCCAACCTCTGGCGATCCACCCATCTTGGCCTCCCAAAGTGCTGGGATTACAGGCATGAGCCATCACTCCCAACCCTAAAATTATTGTTTATTATACAGATAATATACAATAATAGTGGAAAACTAGAAAATGCTAAACAGGGAAAAAGAAAACCACCCATATTTGTAACATCCAGACACAATGAGTGCTCACATCCTGATAAATCACTTTCCAGATTTTCTTCTGTGCATAGATGCACGTGGGAACCATGCTGTATTCCGCCAAAATGATTCACCGTGAGGTCTGGCAGCGCCCCATGCAGCATCGGGAGCTTTGTCCTGTGACCCACCCAACTCCATGTCATTACCCTTTCTGCTTTGCTGGGACTGAAGTTGTGTGCCTGTGGTGCGAAGAGAGGGCTTCTGATACAGAAAAAGGAATTAAGACCCCTCCCCCATGACTCTCTGTTCCTTATCCGCCCAACCCCCAACTAGATTCGATAGGAGAGCTCATAGGCTCCTCTCTCAAGGTCCACAAGCCTCCCACCCTCAGAGGCTGTGGCCAGAGTACCTAATGCTCACTGTGCCCAGCAGGTCCTGACCACGACCCTGACTCAGAGCTGAGGGCCTCCTTCCTGCCACTAGAGGCCCCACACGGCCATTAGGCCGTACCCACAGGAAGAGGCTGGAGCGGAAAGTGGGGAGTGAGCCTCGAAGGAAGAGAAGCCAGGCCCGGGGCACCGTCACTTGCCGTCCCCTCTGCAGCTCCAGATGTGTGGTTTGTGTGGCTGTGGCCAGAGGAGCACCTTGGCCAGAGTCCAGGGCGTGTGGTTTCACATGCCTGACCCAGGTCAGCATCAGGATGAGGACCACAGAGGCAAAGAGCAGCCAGAGGAGACCCAAGACATAGAAGCCCAGGGGGAGGAGGCAGCAAAAGTCGGGGTGAAGAAAAGGGTCATTTCTGTAGCTCTCGAAATGCCCTTGGAGCACCCCACGGAGCTTTGGTTGCTGATCAAATTCAGGGATGTTTTTTTTGGTGGATTCTAAGAGTGATACGGGTTTTGTGGTAGTCAAAAATATGATGCTTTTTGGAGTGATCAGGCTTGTGGCAGACTCCGGGATGGTCGGGCTTGTGGCCAGCTCTGGGGTGATCGGGCTTGGGGAGGGCTCTGGGGTGGTCTGAGTTGGAGTGGGCTCTGGGGTGGTTGGGCTTGGGGTGGGCTCTGGGGTGGTCTGAGTTGGGGTGGGCTCTGGGGTGGTCTGAGTTGGGGTGGGCTCCAGGGTGGTTGGGCTTGGGGAGGGCTCTGAGGTGGTCTGACTTGGGGTGGGCTCTGGGGTGGTCGGGCTTGGGGCAGGCTCTGGGGTGGGCTCCTGGGTGGTTGGGCTTGGGGTGGGCTCTGAGGTGGTCTGACTTGGAGTGGGCTCCGGGGTGATCGGGCTTGGGGTGGACTCCTGGGTGGTTGGGCTTGGGGTGGGTTCAGGGGTGGTTGGGCTTGGGGTGGGCTCCTGGGTGGTTGGGCTTGGGGTGGGCTCAGGGGTGGTCGGGCTTGGGGTGGGCTCTGAGGTGGTCGGGCTTGGGGTCAGTTCAGTAGTGGATTTTGGAGTTTTGGAGAATGTGGCAGATCCCATGTGAAGTGTGAAATCTGGGGTCCGTCTGGGTGGGAATGTGGTCTGCTCCTTAGTGGATTCTTGTGTTGGATGCAAGGAGGAGGGCGTTTGACCGTCTAGAGAAGCAGCAGACCATGAGTGGAACAGACCCCAGGGAGTCGTATGGGCTTTGGTGGAGAACTTGACCACAGTCCTTGTGGCACGCACCGCATCACCCTCAGCGTCCTCGTCTGTGTAGTCATCATATAGGCCTGGGTCATCTTCATCACCAAGGGTGGGGCATCCCTTTCCCGGGTATTTGTAGACAGGAGTCTTGTCTGAATTGTCACACTGCACACTGGCCACGTTAGAGGTCATGGCCTTGACGTCCACACCTTGCTTCCACACGTAGACATTTTCGGCATTGTCCTGCAGCCAGCGACGAAAATAGAGGATCTCACAGTTGCATAACCAGGGGTTCCCATGGAGAAAAGCAAAAGGCAGGAGGTGGAACCCAAAAAAGCCCTTTGGTATCGTATACAGCGAGTTCTCTTGGAGGAGAAGGGTGTCGAGATTCCCCAGCCCATCCAGGAGCCCGGCGGGGAGCTGGGTCAAGTGGTTGTTAGCCAGGCTGAGCTTCTCCAGCTTGGGTGTGGGCGTCAGGAGCCCTGGGGGCAGGGTCTTCAGCTCATTGCCTTTCAGGTAGAGCTCTTGGAGTTTGCCAAGACCATGCAGGGCACCAAGAGGCAGCGAGGTCAGCTGGTTGAAGGAGACGTCCAGGATGGTGAGAGCAGGCAGTGACTGCCCTAGCAAGGGCAGGCTTTGCAGCTTATTGTGGGATAGATCCAGGGTCCCCAGCACTGGCAGTGTCCCATCGACCTGGAGTTTGGTGAGCTCGCACTTATCTAAGTACAGCTGAGTGAGGCGAGTGAAAGGCACCAGGGATGCCAGGGAGAAGGTGTACAGGAGGTTCTCCCCCAAGTGGAGGATTGTCGTGTCTTTTGGCAGGTCTGGAGGCAGCGCTCTCAGATTGCTCTTGTCACAGTTCACTTCTAGGTGGCTGGCCACTTTGGAGACCTCACAGATGGGGTGGGGACGTAAGGGGCTTGGCAGCAGGAGCAGCAAGAGGAGGAGAGGCATGAGGACCTGTGGGCAAGGGGGCCTTGAGTGGACCCCCCTGCAGCCCCTGGAAGCATTCCCCCAGGTCCCAGTCCCCTTCC